GAGTTTGGTTTCTCTAGAAGTGAAGATGAGTTCTGTGTGTATATCAAGGCTAGTGGGAGTATAGTAACTTTTCTGGTGTTGTATGTCGATGACATATTACTCATTGGTAACGACGTTCCAACCTTGAAAGAAGTTAAGTCTTGGCTTGGAAAGTGTTTTGCCATGAAAGACCTTGGAGAAGCTGCCTATATTCTTGGGATTAGAATATTGAGAGATAGAAAGAAGAGACTAATTGGACTTAGTCAGAGCACATACTTGGATAAGGTACTAAAGAGGTTTAGTATGGAAATTCCAAGAAGGGAGAGCTACCTATCCAGAGCAATACCAAATTGAGTAAGACTCAATGCCCGAGTACAGATGTTGAAATAGATGACATGAGTCGTGTACCTTATGCTTCCGCTGTCGGATCGATCATGTACGCTATGACATGTACTCGCCTGATGTGGCATTTGCTTTGAGCATGGTCAGTCGCTATCAGGGAAACCCAGGTAGAGCTCATTGGATAGCAGTTAAGAATATACTCAAGTATTTGCGAAGGACAAAGGACTGGGTCCTTGTGCTTGGTGGCAGTGATACTTTGAGAGTAGATGGTTACAGTGATGCCAGCTTTCAGACGGATAGAGATAACTTCCGTTCTCAGTCAGGGCTGGGTGTTTTTACTGAATGGAGGAGCAGTTACTTGGAAGAGTTCCAAGCAAAATACGGTGGCTGATTCTACTTGTGATCAGAGTACATAGCAGCAAGTGAAGCGTCGAAAGAAGCAGCTTGGTTGAGGAACTTCATCGGGGATCTCGGAGTTGTTCCAACCATCCAGGAGCCTATGGAACTGTTCTGCGATAATGAAGGAGCGGTTGCCTTGACAAAGGAACCGAGAGATCATGGTAAGACCAGACATATCGACAGAAAGTACCATTTCATCAGACATAGAGTAGAAGAAGGCCATCTTATAGTAAAGAGGGTGTCATCTGAAGATAACCCAGCAGATCCTCTCACAAAGGGTCTGAGTAGGGCTAAGCATATTCAACATGCTCGAAGCATAGGACTGAAAGATGATATTAGTTTTAGTAGTTTAGATTAGTTTTTGAAACTTGTAACAAAGTAAATGTAATTGACTTTTGGTGATTAAATAATAAAGTATTATTTATAAGTTTGGCTACTACCTTTTGTCAATTGTTTATTATTGTGTTTCATTTTTGCATGTTTTACTTCCTGAATAATGAGATTATTCAAACTCCACAGTCGCTCGTACTCTTGGAAGTAAGTAGTGAATTAAGACTGTCATGAATTGGATTGCAGATTGTCTAAGGATAGACATGGCAATAGAATTGCTGCAACGTTCATGAGTACTCTCAGAAATTGAGATTTGAGTATTGGATAAACCCTCGCTCAGAGTATTACTTCATGGAATTCATCACGAGTAATACTGAGACGATAATATCTTATAATCTTGAAACGAAGATATATGAGTTGTAATTTACAAGTCGGTTGTGCATTGGTGATACGAAAACGCATCAGTAACTTGGTGTTATAAAAAGTATTGTCATGCATAATTTGATGAGTAAAAGATACAAGCATATGAGTCAACGTTTTTCGTTCCTTTTGCCCTAACAGGAAAAGCGATATCTGTGGGCCCCTCGATGATGTTTTGGTGTTGACTTATGTGCTGGGCCCAGCCAGGACTAAATTGATGTGTTCGATTAGAAGTCCTACATCATCACAAATCAGGAATCGGGAAACATAGATTCTGGACAAACAGATTGATTACATTCCATGTCTTTTGTCTGGGGATATCAAGCAGAACGAAGGGTTATATGATCACTTATCTTAGGACACGTAACTGACTGGGTCAGAGTTCGGCAGCAGCTTTTGGAAGCTACAATTTGCTGGTCAAATTTAGAAGGCATACTAGCAATTATAGTTACAGACTTATCCAAGTGGGAGACTGTTGGATTAGGTGTCTAAGCCCTTAACTATAATTGGTATGTACTTGAATTGATAGCAGCACAGTCCTTTTGGGTTGCCCTCAACCTAGCAACTGGACAAGGAAATTATGAAAGGAGAGATATTAATTTATAAGATTAATTAATATATAATATAAATGATTTTTTAATATGTTAATGGATTAATCGATTAATTAGAAATCATTATGTTTAATTAATTGTTAGCCAGAAAATGAATCAGAACGATTTTGGGGTTAAAAGAAATTTAATTATAAGTGCAGGGACTAGTTTGCAATTATCTAATAGTTGAGTGGAAGGCTCTAGAACCCCTTGGAAGAGGGTGGACGAAATCTTTAGGGGAAACCCTAATAATTTCGTCCATAGGGGCTTGGATAAGGCCCTTGGGTTTGCTTAGGCCCTAAGCAAAGGATAACTAGGGTTTCCCTTAAACCCTAGATCCCTCAGCTATATAAGGAGCCTCCTGGTTCATGTTTTTGGTGACTCTTTCTTTTGAAGAAACCCTAAGGCCGAGATTTTGCATACTCCCTCTCCCTTCTTCTTCTACTTTCCTTCTTGCTAGTTTGGGTGTGATTCCATTAGAGGCATTACACTGTGGTGCTAAAGCTTCCAAGAAGATCAAGATCAAGATCAAGGGAATATCAATTGTTTGCTATAACAATTGAAAGGTATGTAAACCCTAAACCCTAGTTTGTTAATTTCGAAATTAGCCTCTCTCCTCTAAGGTTCTTGTTTTGCAATTCAAAGTTGTATGTTCAATAGTTAAAACATAGATCCAAAGTAGGTTGCATGTGAACTTAGGAATTGTTTTCTAGTTTATTTGTTGTACCTAAAACCCATTTAGGATTCTCCAGTCAATTCGACTTTC